GACTTGGGTTTGTAAAATAAAATATATTTAATTTAAATTAAATCCCCACTGCACGACGATAATGTTCATGTGTAAATAGTTTCTAATTAGACTAAAATTAATAATTGTAGAGCTGTCTATAAACATTTATTTGTGACATCAGGAGATGAAACAACCTCCAATCCATCCCGCCATCATGAATGATCCAAAATGCTGAAATGAATACGAGATTTAACCAGCTAACTAGTTCGCACTAGACGACGGGAAAGGATGAATAAAAATCTAAAAGCTTCAAAAAATTTATAAAATATCAAAATTTTGTCACGTTTTAGAAAATAAGTAAAAATTATAACTACAGTCAAACCTGGACAAAAACGGTACAATAAATCTTAGACATCTATATTTATATCATCCGTTACTTTTTTATAACTTTTAGGCGAGGTTTGATCTGTTCTAAAGCCAGTTTGCCAGTTTTCAACATAGCGAAAGTTGGAAGGAACTCAGAGCTCAGTGCTCTTTACATGTTTTTTTGATTTAATCATTTTATTTTAGGTGGTTTATGAAGGACCAAACTCATTCAATTTTCATTGCCTGATTTAACTCCACGCTTAAACGCATGCGTGATTTTATGATTTCACTTAGAGATATTTGGATTTTTCTTTAAAATATGACCAGCACCAAATATTTCTTCGCCTTAATATTAATAATATGATTAAATAAGTAAAATTGACTAAAAATAAAAGGGCCAAATGTGCGCAAAGACACATAGACTTACGGCATGTTTGCCGAAATTTTAGGAAACAAGCATTATAGCTACTACTCATGTCTTTATGTTAAGTTCATAAAAATTAAACAATGTTTCATAAATAAATAGCAACTCCAGGTGTTTGTACATGCTCGAGTATCGCTTGTAGAGTTTAGATAAGTAAAAGTCTATAGATCACGAATATCTGAGGGTCCACGACTCTTCCTCACACAGATTAGTATTTCTCATGCATATAGGTTTTAGGCTAAAAATGACGGGCAATTAACTAACTAATTACTCTCACTTAAAGAGTTTTCTCGTTTACCCAGTTCTAATCTAATCGATGTACATAATAAAGATACACTTACCAAACTCCGCAATATTGTGCTATAGCTTAGTTTACGTTATTCACATTTTTTTTATTCTTTGTTATTCTGTGTTCTTGACATTTTAGAGTTTATCATACCATTTTCTAAATTAATCGATTCTTTGTTTTTAGTTTTATTACAGTTTCATGTTATCTTAATTTAGATTTATTTAGTTATAATTCTTGCTCTCTAATTTTTTTGTCATTTTATTTTTTGGTTTATTGTTACTACACTATAGGTTTATTCTAATCCGATTTAATTTTTTTGTTTTTGGTGTTTGTGGTGTTCCCCTGTAAATGTTCGTCACATAATATGTAATTTACTATGTTTTAATGTTTCATCTTTTTAATGTTTAACGTGATATGTGAGCGTACGTTAGTGAACCTTTTAAATAAATAAATAAATAAATAAATAAATAAACAAATAAATAAATAAATAAATAAATAAATAAATAAATAAATAAATAAATAAATAAATAAATAAATAAATAAATAAATAAATAAATATAATAATGTTGTGTTTTATATGTGGTGTCTCGGTAGTGCTAAGCTTTCCTTCGGCGCCGGGGGTCGTTGGTTCTATTCCCACACGAGATAAGATTTTGTGTGACCTACAGATAATTGTTCCTGATCTGGGTATCTATCCCCAAGGAGGGTTGTCATCAGGTAGGCTGCTGGTCGTAAAAACCGACCATTACGATTAACGATTGATTCATATGTTGTGCCAACCCTAGCAATGTGTGATAACAGACTGCTGTGAAAGAATGAACATTGTTTTTTGTGGTAGAAGGTAGCAAGCAAGCAAATCTGATGTTCAGTAAATACCACTACTCATAGACACTACAAGTAAGGTTGCTGCTAACGTTTTAAAGCGTTCCGGTTACCTCGTGCACCAGACTAAAGGCAAAAGCTTTTAGTAGGCTAGTTTTTTTATGTTACTAGTAGGCAAGGAAGCAGGCAGTTCGCCACAGGTTAAGTGATTTCCGCCGCCCATCAACATCTACAACACCAGACGGGTTACAGATGCGTTGCCTACGTTTACAACGCAACAGACGAATGCGAAAGTATTACACTTCCACGTCACGCCGGTTTCCTGTGAGATCAGTGTATACTTTGCCTCAACATTGTGGACTCGACCCACACTCCTAGAGAAATATTATTTGATGATAATTCACGTAGAGTTTTTCCAGTATCTGGCATTATCTATTTATTAATAAAAGAGAACTGTGCTTAAATATGTTTTTCAATTACTTATCGTATTGATTGGGACTGGATAACGCTGCGTAAAAATGTATTTCAAATATATACACTTTTCTTATAAGCATACTGATCCATTACTTCGACTTTATCTTTTGTTGGTAGGGACTCTCGTTTGATTTACTTTATTTCCCGTCCGAGGGCAAAGAGTATATTAATCAGTTAGGGTTGCATCGCATCGTTAATGCGGGAATATGCGACCGCAGCCCAAGCCGCAAACGCATAGCAGTATTCCTATATCTGCGACGTCTGTATGCGCTGAACGGTGTTACGTTACTAGGTGCGTATCGGATGTCGGGGCAGGAAGTGCTCGTGTTGCGACACCCGCGCGGAATCGCGTCAGCGATTGTGTTCGATTCGTTTTAGGTTATGTTGGGTGATTTTTCCCGCCAAATTCGTCTCGCGCCATATTCGCAGCCGCGCGTTTGTTAGGTTCGTGATGCTGCGCTTGACGTGTTTCGATATTTTTGTTCCTTTTAGTCTCGTGGTAAGTTACTACGCCCGTGGGGTCCAGCAGTGTTGCCAACCGTTAGGGGGGAAAATCAGAGGAAATTAAAAAGTATGAATACTTATAATTTAAGCCGAACTTTTGCGAGGCCCTCATGGATTGACATTAGCTGCTCATTGCTCTACATTATAGTTATAAGGTATCAGTTGAATGTCCTTTTGAGGTTTGACTGTACTTTTTGATGAAAAAAAACTTTGCCTATAACGTTTATGCAATAGCGACTCTTTCGACATTGCATTGCTGTTGCCATCTGATATTTAATGACAACTCATGAATTAATAAGGCGACAAAGATCATATTCAGCCTGTTCTAATTATCTTATCATACACCCACCACATGGCTTATCCCACAACGATGCAACCTGAAACTAGTTTTCTTTTTTACGAATAAGATATGTGTGCTGCACAATACAATATATCTCTAAAAAACTTGTACAGATAGCCTCGGTTTGAGTATTTGAACCTCTGCATATAGGGGAACTGCATTAGTGCAAAAGAAAAATAAAGTTCAAATCTCGCTATCGGTTGCAATGAAATTGATGCGATTTTAAATTGCGATTAACCACGCGCTTCCTGGCGAAGTAAAACATTGTGACGAAACCTGGGCTTAAGACAAAAATGAAGGAAATATCTCGCAGATATTTAAAGTCTGCCAATCCGCGGTCTCCTGGTAAACTATGAACTGACTGACTCTCAAAGTTAGTGTTATTTGTCTCAAAAAGGTATTTGCCCAGATGTGGGCAATGCTTTGTTACTGAACTATTTTTTTTCATATGTTTATCTGCGACAATGTCAACAATTTAATATTGAGATTATCGTTGACTTTGCAAATCTAATTTAAATATCGATGAGTTTCAATGATTATTTAGTCTTAATCTTGTTATTATGACAAGATTTAGATCTCAATTTCGTGGATTCGCATTCAATGACGTATTTTTATATTAATACTATGAGATCTCTTTTTTTCGAGTAAAAATTACTAGAATTATTTGATGAAATTTTGATTTACTATAGAATGCCGTAGAAATATAACTGCGTAATCATGTTGTTTTTTGTTAGAATCTAAAATTATTTCGTCACAGAAAATGATTTTTCATTGCCATGTTATACCTCGCTATCAAGTGTTTCCGTTCCATTAAATTGTGTTGTGTAACTGATTTTAAACTTAAAACTTTATATATAGTACAGATCTGTATGACAGTGAAATATTATCGGAATCTATAGTCGTTTCTATTGTCTTTTGCAAGGTATAAGACAATAGAAACGTATACAAAATTTATCGTATGTTTGAATAAAGTTCCCCAAAATACCGTAATTAAGTCGTTACCGTACGCCATCGTTTTCTAGATTGTTTCATGAACACGGTAAAAGCTAGGAACACACACAACTCTACTACGGATTGGCGGACTTCATGCATCTTCGAAATATGTTTTTTTTTAAGTTTTACTTGATGACGACCCGAATGGGTAGTGTACCTGCGCCAGAGGTTGTGGGTTCGATCCCCACTACCGGTTAAAATATTGTGTGATGAAAATAGTGTTTTTCTAGTGTCTGGGTGTTTATATATGTATCATATGTATTTATTTACAAAAGAAAAGTATGTTTATCAGTTATCTAGTACCCATAGTACAAGTGTTGCTTAGTTTGGGACTAGAGAACGTTTTGTAAAAATGTGTCCTAAAAATATTTGTTTATTTTATTGGCGCATTTAAAAAAAATTATAACAGTAGAATTTTTCCAATGCGCGCACACCGAATCACAAACAGCGACATGATGGCGGTATTACCATAACAACAAATAACAACTTTTTGAAATTTACCTATAATTGTAACTCGTAACCGTTTTCAGTTGAATGTCTTTTTTAAAACATTGGCACAGGGGATATAAATTTTTAGTTAGTTTTCATTTGTTACGCTTAAGAAGTATACTTAACTTGATTGTATACATGGTTACATACGTACAGACACTTTTTTTATATTATTTCGAAAATATGCTAGGACTTTTCCTCACGACGTTTTCCTGCACCGCTGAGCACGTGATAGCAAAATTAACAATTTCAACAGGCTGCTCGAGTGTATTGAATTAAAAAACGCCCAGACACTGAGCTGTGACGGTTCTTCACGCGGCACATTAATTATTTTCGATATGTGGAATATCAACAATTATCCGCTTGTGTTCTCGCCGCATGCTCGAACTGTGGACGACGCGCGTGGACTCGTACTCGCGACGTGGCCGGACGCGCGTCCGTCCGCCGAGGAGATAATGAGCCCGCATCCGGCCTCCAGTAACAATATCAGCCTTGTTCGGCGAATGGGGCTGCGTGATAAACAAATGCGCCGAACGCCGGCCTAAGGGTTGATGCACACCGCGCGGCTCCACTGCCTATCTGCGGGGGGCCGGAGAGTCGGCGGTTAACCTGGTCGTGACGACCGTACGCGGACCGCAGCATCAATTGGGGCATTTACTGTACAACCTTTGAAATTAGGCCATACTTATGACGTCCTGGTACACCTGGTTCATCAGCATTATATGAAGATTCGTTGACAATGGACATACAAGTTTAGGATTCAGCAAATTGGTGGAGATCTCAAATCATATTATTGGTGTATACATATGCAATAAACTTAGAAAATTATATATATAATACCTTTTATCATTACACCAGGTCAGGGATGGATAGGTGACTCTAAGATTACGCCTTATTGTGCACGCACCCTTATTTGTAATTACGCGATTAATTTATTCGGTGCATATTTCTTAGCGAGACGGCCTATTGCCTAGGTGTTCCTTGAATAAATGTATTTATTTGGGTTAGATACTACGTTTTTCATATTAAATGAGATGGTAATTACAATGATGTTTTCGGATTTCAAATATCAAAACGGAGATCAAATGGCCGAGGGTTAGGGCGAAAGGGGGAGAAACCGGCGGACGATACGGGTGGTATCGAGGAGCACCGCCTACTACATTTGAGCCTGGAGTCATCCGTTCTGGAGTCCCAGTCGCCTCAGATGTTCGGAGAGGCTGACTGGGATTAGCCCATTCGCAGAAACGACTATTTTTACTTTGCTTTCTCGTTTGGTTCGGTTTATAAATAAAAATAAACATATAGAAATATATTGCATACATAAAATAAAAATAAATATTGTATATATATATATATATATATGTGTACATATAGATATAAATATTGTATATAATACATACATAAATAGGACCGAACCTGGCGGAAGCCGTCGGCAGGGGAGACCAAACGGCCGAGGGTTAGGGTGAGAGGGAGATAATCACTATCACTACATAGTATAAAACAAAGTCATCCCACTGTCTGTCTGTCCCTATGTATGCTTAGATCTTTAAAACTACGCAACGGATTTTGATGCGGTTTCATTACTAGAAAGAATGATTCAAGAGCAAATTTTTATATGTATAATATTGTATCCCTGCGAAGCCGGAGCGGGTTGCTAGTTATTATATATACTTTATTTTACACCAAAAAAACTAATACATTTAGTATAAAATAATTCTTTAAAGCTAAGTATAATAAGGCTTTCTTATCCCTAAAAAGCAATCTCTTCCAGACATCCTTAGGACGTGGAAAAATATACTAAAATACAATAAACGTACATAATTATAACATAATTGCATTAACTAATAGCCAATTTTGGTGCTAGATGGCACGATGATGATGATGGTGGTTCCTTTACAACCGCACTTTCTCAATCACTTTTTACAATGAATAGTTGAAAAATAGAGCGAAGTCGCTTTCGCCATTGAAATTGAATATAAATTTTTGTGCTATTCCCTGCACTTAAGATGAAACTTAAAATATATAGATCAATTGATTAGATGATCCCGTGGCGCTGTTGTAAAGTTATTGGCTTCGTCGCCGGGGTCCTGTGTTAGATTCCCATAAGGAACACCTATTTGTGTGACCCACAGATAATTGTCTCAAATCTGGGTGTTTGCCCACGTGAAAATGAATTTAAAATGTGCTTATAACACAGGATGCTATCTAATAGAAAAGCCCGATCAGCAAAACAGGCCTATAACAAAGGTTTATATATCTAAAAATCTATTTAAGTGATTTATTAAACTTTTAACGCTGTATAAAATCATTCGAGAATACATTTTTACTCTGTAATAAGCTCATAGAGCAAAAACCAGCAAAGTACGAGTTAGACTCGCTCAGTAATCTCAAATTGCTTGTTGCTACACGAGGGGATATGTTTTTTTTTAAAGCTGAAAACTTTTATTTTAGCCACTTCCAGAATTCGAACCGGTTACGATAAGTATAAGGAAAATAATAATAAATGGACGTACACAATAGAGAGTCCTGATTTAATGCAGTACGCATAAAGCAAGCGAAATCGTCGTTATTACTTCAAATTTGTGATCAGCGCCTGACGTCCCTTGTCTATCGTAACTGGGAGCGTTGAGGAAAGAAATGGTTTGTTAGGTTCGGACTGGCGAGTCTTTACGTGTGATCGAATGGAATGACTTGGAATCGTTACTTTTACCAACGAATCTAAACGTTAAAAGTAAAGCATCAGCCTATACTGTTGGCAACACTAAAGAAAGTCATTCCTTAAGGTTGTTGGCAACACTAAAACAAGTGTCATTCTGTGAGGTATAAATGAAGCTGCAAGAAGCATTTAGTGGTCTTCGTCGCCTTCGTCGTCTTCTTCTTCGGCTGTCAACAAGAAGTAAACGGTAGTGCTACCCAATCGGTATCATAAATTAAATCGTTAGAGTGGTGTTTCATTAGTGATATTAAAGTGTTAAAATAAGTAATTATACCAGTGTTATTGTTGTGCAATGTGAAACTACGGTGATTTGGTAAAAGTATTTATATTTCTACCTTCTTAGCTCGATAAAACAAAGTATAGCTAACATCAGAAGCGGGATTTAACTCGTGTGTAGTTTGTATTCGCGCCCTATGAGTGTAAAGTATAGTATTGAAAAAAAAAATAGATTAACGTAATAGAATCTTAAGCATTAAAGTTTTCGTGGAATCATAGTATGATACGTTACCAGACTTTGAATAAGCTTAAAGGGTCTGCTAAGGTTTGGTATAAGTGGCGATCAAATGGAAATACATGAAACTGTGGATTAAGATTGATAACTGGGATGTTATCTAGGTTATAGTTTATAATGGAAGCGTGTTGGCAAGGTAAAATTTTTGTTAATTTTATAAGCCCATGTTAACTGTTGTCTTAATAACATTATAAGAGAAGCTAGTGGATAACCTAGCGGTGACAGTATTACTCACCAGAATCGAAGTAGTGAGCTGAAGCAGTCTACCTAAGACTAAAGGTGTGAACTGGAACAGGCGCTACCCCGGATTAAGGGAGTGTTGAGCATGTAGTGGATAACCTAAAGATGACAGAATTACTCACCAGAATCGGAGTAGTGAGCTGAAGCAGTCTCTACCTAAGACTAAAGGTGTGAACTGGAACAGGCGCTACCCCGGATTAAGGGAGTGTTGAGCAATGTAGTGGATAACCTAGAGATGACAGTATTACTCACCAGAATCGGAGTAGTGAGCTGAAGCAGTCTCTACCTAAGACCAAAGGTGTGAACTGGAACAGGCGCTACTCCGGATTAAGGGAGTGATGAATCTCGTTAGACATCGTCTAAGCCTAAAGATAATGTTTAGGGTTATCCGGTACAATCTATTTAATTAAGCTTTTTATTTTTGCGAGACAGTTTATGCCGAGAGTAGTTTATGTGTGTTACAAACGATTTATGAACAGTTTCCTTTGGGTTTTCTAGAATAAACGTTTTCCATTAGACTATTAGAATATCTTAAAAGTATTATAAGACTAAGGAAATCGTATAGAATTCAACGCAGTGGAATTTCTGGAAAGGATTTAAGGAAAGGAATGGCCGAGCAGTAATGTTTAAAAACAAGATGTTGTTTTCAGTTACTTCTGTCATGTTTGTTCCCGGCGACTGGTTTTGCATTGTGCCTGGGACATGCACAGTGCAGGAGGGCCGTGTTGGCAACACTAAAGAAAATCATTCCTTAAGGTTGTTGGCAACACTAACAAGTGCAATTCTGTGAGGTATAAATGAAGCTGCAAGAAGCATTTAGTGGTCTTCGTCGCCTTCGTCGTCTTCTTCTTCGGCTGTCAACAAGAAGTAAACGGTAGTGCTGCCCAATCGGTATCATAAATTAAATCGTTAGAGTGGTGTTTCATTAGTGATATTAAAGTGTTAAAATAAGTAATTATACCAGTTTTATTGTTGTGCAATGTGAAACTACGGTGATTTGGTAAAAGTATTTATATTTCTACCTTCTTAGCTCGATAAAACAATGTATAGCTAACAATACATATCGCAGCGCTGAGTAAAGGCCTCCCTTACGCCACCACGTGGCTCCACTGCGAATGGCAGATTTTTTTTTTTATATTTCGAAAATATGTAAGGGTTCTCACAAAGTTTTCCTTCACCGCTGAGCACATGATAAGTCAGCGCTTAAAATTATTAATTTTATAGGTGCTGGCACCGGTTTTCTATAGCACCCGAGTTCAAATAACTCAGGGTGCTAGACTATGAAGAATTTAAAGCGAGCACCCGGGCAATGAGCACGGCCCCCATAATATACACGCACAATTATAATCAAAGCGTAATAATTGATTGTTAAGTGTAATATGAAAGCGGAGTGTGAGGAAAGCGGAAGATCGTGCTCTGTGGCGGGGAAGCCTATGTCCAGCAGTGGACTGCAAAAGGCTGATTGGAAGTGTAATATGAAAATGTTGATTATCGCTTCTATTACCTTTTTCTTCCGAAACGCAATACAGATAATAAGATATAATGTAGTAACAATACGAAACGTTACAGTTCGTTCTCACATTTTAGTAGTATTATGCAAAATCATGCCAGGTCGCGTATAATTCAACCCCGAGTTTATGAATGGCGACGTAAGCGAATTCACACCACGTCCCATCCCTAACTTCTAACCCGACCCCCCGTTATCCATGAATGAAACGAAACGATGACGTCATCCTATGCTAATATAGCATTTTTATCCTTATATCAATACGCACTAAAAGTTACTGAGATTGAAAAAGACTTTATGAATAGCCTTTTAAACATATTACAGATTTTTTTTACTTCAGAATCTAAATTAAACTTATACATTAGGCACATCTTTGGTGGATAGATTTCACTTTTAGCTTTGTTTTATAATGGTATTGGGTAATTGAGTTACCTAAAGGGACTTGTGATTGTATCCCCTACAATCATAGAAAATGTCCTCGAGCCAATACCTGACGTGATCTAATATCTGACAATATTAAAATACTTTAAAAGTGGTTTCGGTTATCGAAATTACACAGAATTGGAAATATTAAAGTAGTTTATTGATATTATTACAAAGCTCATTCGCGTATACGTTTTTTATTTAATGTTAGTTTTTTAGGGATCCGAACCCAAAGGGTAAAACGGGACTCTATTACTAAGACAACGCTGTCTATCTGTTTGTCGGTCTGTCTGTTACCAGGCTGTATCTCATGAGCCGTGATAGTTGTAAATACGATGATTTTTTGCCGTTTTATAGATAATGGTACAGAACCCTTCAAGCGCGAGTACGATTCGCACTTGGCCGGGTTTTTTTTAATTTTTCGATCATTGAATATCATTTAATCCAAAGCCATCGTCCGCGAATACACGGCCCTGGTCGAGGAAGCTCTCAACAGTCCCCCGAATTGAAATCGATAATGTCAAACAGTAAACATAAAAATATATAAGCAAACTCATCATTATTCTGAGGTGTCGAGATAGAAATAGAGATAGAGAAACTTCAAGCTTACAGAATTATGGCGTATGATACTGGCAGCACAGAAATATAATCCGATTCTATAATTTGAGGTTGTAAAAACATATTATGACTCTGTTCACTGTAATACAGAAGCTACGCGCGCTCTAGTAATTAGATTGGCATGTCTCTCGCTCTTCCTCGCTGAGCAGAGCAGAATACGTGCAAAGACCAAATAATCCAAAGATGCGCACTGTGCTTCAACGAATCAAATATACGTAACCTTTTTCGATCCACATATTTATGTTAATTTTACATTACTCTATTTTTTATCTACACCCTCTTCAGGAATAATTTATAATGTAAAATCTTTTAAATGAAAAAAAAAAAGAAAAATAGTAGGATATGAAGGTCGCAATAATAAAACAGTTATTTCAGCGGTTGCTAAAGTTTACATTTAAGTTTAGGTAAGTAACTAATAGACACCGGATTAATGGCAATTGGTTTATACACGTGCCTAAAATGTTGTTTTAAAGTGTCATCGGACTGTTTGAAGCACACGATTCGAAGCGGAATGACGGTCGAGACCAACCGCGTGCTTAACATAGCTGGCAGTGACAGGCACCGTGGGAATTTGCGTTTACAAGTCGCTAATTCATGCTTGATCAAACCGGTAGAGTGTTAAAGGTCTTTGACTTCGGAAGAGTTGAATTACCATATAGGTTCTAATTTTCAGTTTTTGCAATGAATTATAAACTTATAATTCATGTCTCCATGTCATCATACATTTTATTTTCGCTATAGTCTCAATGTAAATTGTGTCTTTAACAAAATACATACTTGATCAAATGTAGAGAAAACACAAGAATTTTCTGTTCATATTTTTATCATTATCATCATCATAATATCAGCCGTAGGACGTCCAATGCTGAACATAGGCCTCCTCTATTGACTTCCACTTCGACCGGTCGTTAGCGGCCTGCATCCAACGCGTCCCTGCGATCTTGGCTAGGTCGTCCGTCCACCTTTTTGGAAGCCTTCCTACCTGCCGTCACGTGGTCTCCACTCAACAACCTTTCTGCCCCAACAGCCATCGGCTCTTCGAGTTATCGGACTTGCCCACAGCCACTTCAGCACGCTGACTCGCTCTGCTATGTCGGTGCTGGTGGGATCAGCACAACATGTGAATCATGTTGAACGAAGTCTGCCCGGGCAGCTAGTATACAATATGTTTATATTAATTAATGAAATCCTTACATCAACTGCACTTTACGCAAGTTCGAAATCTAACTGCGAATGAATTGACCGCTCTACGCCACTGATCTGGGCTGGGCTGAATCTACGCTACTACGTACTACATCGCCTAGGGACGGCCGGAGGGGGTGGGGGGTAGGGGGGGGAGGGAGTCGTGGGCGCGCAGCGTGGGACGAGTCGGCGGCGAAACTTTATTAGCATTTAGGTAATTAGTGTGTATCGGACCAATTGTGATGTCATTTCAAGTCCGTTGGTCCGGTTGATTTTTCATCAGACTTTTAAACTTCGAATGGTGTAAAAAATAAAAATAAACAACGGTCATACACCTCATAAAATAGCGTTAGTGATGCTGTTGATTTAAGGCATATGTTGAATAATTTTGGAACATTTCTTTTAACGTATTCTTTCTATCTTCAATAAGAGCGAATCTCTAAGCGTAATTGTATTCCGTGCGTTGCAAGGACTGCGATTATTCATAGACAAATAATATGGACCATTAATTAGCCCTAGCTTCGTTGCAACATAATAATATAAGTATAATATGTATTAAACAATGTTGCTAGTTGATCCTTATATTGAAAATAAAACTCGTTTTGTCATATGCTATTTTCTGCGGTTGTAATTGTGGGATTGATAATCTGAATGAGTATGATGCAATAAGATATGAAGCCTACTAAAGAAGTGTTGGCGCCAAAAACCAGTTTGTCCACTCCTATAAATAGTCAAAGGCTCCTCTTTAAATATTGACCTCATCTTGTTTTGTAGATCCTTCAATTTTATTCTGTACGTGTACATAAGGCAAGAAATAAAAATTGTTTTGAAATCTTAATATATAACAAAATATAATAATAGTGTGGGATTATGTTTGGTATGACTATGATAAGTAATCGACCGTGCCTTTTTTGTATTATCAAAATAAGATTTTGAAAATTGATATTAAAAATTTAACTAAAATAATAATTTTTAACAAAAATACCGACTTCTAACCGGAAGCTAAAAAACATTGTTAATACCTATAACATTTGAGGATTGCCCTCGATTTCTCTGGGATGCCATCATCATATCCGGCTTTCATTATCATGGTACCCTTGGGCTATCTCCTTTCCGACAAAAAAAGAATCGTTAAAATCGGTTCATAAGCGACGAAGTTATCCACCCACACACATAAAAAATATATACGGTCGAATTGTGAATTAATAAATTTATTTTTATTGGACACCAATAGAATGCGTTACTTCTGTATCATTCTTGTGTAAATTATTAGACATATGTAAAAGTAAATATAATCAATCGAATAAATACCTAAAAACCTAATTTATCGCATGTAAAAGAGAACGAAAATGTTAGTGTTAAGTACAGCCCTGTGGATAAAATATATCTTAGTAAATAAAAATTAATGTTGATAAGCGCATAACTCAAGAATGGCTGGCCCAATTCAGCTCATTTATTTTTTAAAATTATAAAAAAAAGAACGTAGTCTGTCCGGGTAGTTAGTTTTTAATAATTTCAAAAATGGAAGTAATAAAAAGGGCATAGAGTAAAAAGCGTCAGCGCGGGCTCGGCCGCCGTCGGGCGCGCTCGTATGCGCTCGGCTGCGCGTGCGACGCTCCGCCGGCCCCGCAGGAAACAGGAAGTGGACTAACCGCGCGCTTCCGCTCCCATTCGCGCCGCCCGCTCGCCGGACGCACTGTTTCATTCACGGTATTTCGTGCCATTGAAGTAATATTATCTAGTCGCGTGGAATGTTTGGCTTCGAATGCGTTACGCGCAAAACACGCGCCTCGAGATATGGAACAACGTTTTTGTTCAACACTGGCGCCTTTTTTTTATGTATTTAAAAGTATTTTTAAAAAAAAACATCCGTAAACCATTTTAGAGCCTTTTTGTTGTCGTACACCTATTTTAATTTTGCCAAAAAGAAGGAGTGTTTTTGCGTGTTAATAAAAATTTATTTTAATTCATGTGATAGATTTCACTCACAAAAAGAGAAAATTATTTGAGAGGTTGCGCATAAAGCGAAGTATCAATAGATAATTTCACGTCAAAGTGTGTTTGAACAAGGTTTAAATTTAGACCAATTGCAAAGTAGTAGTGGAAAGACAAAATGAGACTCCGATCTAGAAGGTGAGGTTATTGAGTGCGTCAAATTGTCTATGACGTCACGGGAGCGCTGGGCTGGGGAGGGGGAGGGCTTAATTAACGAGACTAGGGGGAGCGGCGTGGGTCTATGAGCAGCGGATTGCGTCACACATGTACTTGTCTGTTAGAAGATCGAGTAATGGATTTGCTAGTGCACGCGTGTTTTATTGAAACGTAATAATGTTTATGGCAAGCAATTACTATGATTATACAATGATCACATTTTAATTCTGTTTAAATAATTACTGATTTTAGGAGTACAATATTTAAATAGAATCTCTCCTAATAATAATAATGAATGTGTATTGTTAATACGGCACGTTGCTAACTAAAAACGATTTTTAATATAATACTCAGGTTTGTGGTCCCTTGAAGTTGTGAAAAACTCAAACTTATAAGTCAACGTAATCAAAAATTAAAAGCCGTTTATTCAACATATTTGGACACTCAAGGAAATTAAAATATCATATAATTATATTTTTCTTTTCTTTTTCTTTTAAACTAATTTGCTGTTGGTAAACTCACTTACTCTGTGTCGATAGATAGCGACAATAGTTTTCCAAAGGCAAAGTTAACTATGTACCTCAATCCAGTTAAATTTTCTTTAGAGCAATTTTCAGTGCTATCATGATAAATACGGGAAATATTTTGGCGAATTTAGCTGTAAAATTACGTAAGTGTTTACTCTGTTATATGTACCTACTAATTATATACATGTCAACAAATATCATCTTAGTTACTGTGTTTGTTACATTGTTTTTGTTGTTTATCGGGTAGCTTGCTTGTGATGAACCGGTAAAAATAATAACTGAATGTATGTACGCTACCCTCGATGTGCGATTACGACTGCACTTGAACGCTTTTTTATGCGAAAATTCGAGAAGCGAGCAGTTGGGAAACGATGTTGGGTGTCGTAAACCATGGCCCCTCTATTGTTGTAAATGTACATTGCTGATGCGTTGCCAACCTTTAATGCTAGGGAGCCGGCTACCTCACTCACTAGACGAAACGAATATGTTATAACATATTCTTTTTTCTATCGCTCCGTGTTTCTACACCACGAAAATACCCGAAAAGCTTACGTGGGTTTGGCGGAACGTAGTACCACTACTCTCTAGCCATCTCGAAAGCGGGAAGACTTATTGTAATAGTCGGACTCGCCAATACTTTCTTAGAGTTACCGAGAGTTACCGAAAAACTTTATTTACTTTTATATTGTATTCATTTGATTTTTTACATTTATGGTGATGCTAGCAGGCTACACTATTGGCGTCGGCCCCATAAATTGTGGATTCCCACACGGGACAAGTTTATGTGATACACAGATAATTAATTCAGTTCTGGGTGCTTATTTACAATATCACGAATGAAACAGGATTCCTGATCTTAGAACTTCTTCGCGACGTTAATTGTACCTGATAGCCGCAAGTTCGTCTGTGTTGCTTATTATGTTGTTTACTAAAAAAACAACTCTGTTCTCGCCAATTCTCCACGGCAAAAAAAACGCGTGAACTCGTGTGCTTATAAAAATCTCCTAAAACTTTAATTTTACGTTGAATTAAGATATCAAAATATGTTTGAATTAATCAAAAAAAATAAATATATGTTTTCATATAGTAATGTTCAAATATGTAATTGTCTTTTTTCATAGCAGTCGGTTAAGCAATAGAGGTTAATGCAGTGCAGCGCCATCTAGTGGCGACTTAGAATAATGGATAGCTAAAAACCTTCAGGTAAAAGTCCTTACATCCAACTTCTTGATGATTGGGGTAATGTTGAAAGGAGAAACTTGTTCGAGCCACAAAGACTTCTTTATTGAAGTGGTTTTCAAAGTTACGAAGGTAGACGCGCATATACATAAATATAAAGACAGCGTGGGCCCTATTTATAGCAAGCTCCCAAGTGGGAGGTAATAACTTAGTAAGTTTTGTCCTACGCGCGACAACAGTCAGTTTCGTATAATCATCTGGCAAATTCCATTCCGACGTGAGCAGAAAGCCTCGTCCCTTCTACCGCTGTGTTCGGACGGACAAAAGGCTTCTCATGTATATACATATAGTACCAAATTTGCAATGAGAACCATACGTAACATCGACAAGGAACTCGCCGAATTTTCACCTTCTGACCTTGTTATAATACCTGAGGTTTTTGGACATGCATTCTTTAAGGACTACCGAAAAAGACACTGACATTTCTAAACCTAATATAGAATTTTTAAGTTTCTACCGTATCTTTCGGACTACTTTGTATTGAAATAAAGCAATGCAAGGGAGACTGCATCCGAATTCTGTACAAAGTAAACTAGCACACACACATTGCTCCTTGTATACTTTAATTAAAAGTACTTGAACAAACTAATTTACTAGAAGTTTTGGATAATATCTATACATGTTTGAGTGATATATCTAAATAATTATATAGACTAAACATTACTAATCGTAGACGTTCTGCATTGGATAATGCCAAGTCTCGTAACCCTTATTATATTTTACTTAATCGTGTCCTGATCTTCATTTTGTCTTAGAACGCGCTTTCATATAAAGCGCGCACAGTTCAATAGTCTACGTGCAATTTAAATGTAGGTATACATTTTAACCTTTATTCATTCACTGTTTTCCTTTAGCGTCTTAAGGTAAATGCTGCGTGAATACTTTTTACGCTTATGTGTAATCGCACTCCATTGACTATGGCTGACGAGTTAATGAATGAAAACCCCACTTTTGATTCACTTCCGTAGTTTGTCCTTGTCGGCGCGTTTAAAAACGTTTCGCTGCGAAAAAGAGAGGGAGATACACGGCTCCATTCATAGTGCGAGTGCAACGGCCAATCCGGTGTTCGTGAAAGTATTGAATCCAATTCAAGTGTTTCACAAATTAGTTTCATTCTATTTCAAATTGCTCGAAGGTCACATGGGCAAAGACGTGTTTCTTGTGCCTAACAGATAATTGAGGAGTCACTAAAAGAAATAGGGACATTAAATACGGGTAAAATGGAATTAAAATCTAGAAGTTTGATGACTTCGTGGCGCAGTTGTCAAGGTATTATCTTGGCATTACAAGGTATTATATTATATTGGCTTCGGCTTGGGGGGTCGTGGGTTCGATTCCCGCACGGGACAACTATTTGTGTGCTGTGATCCACTAATACTTGTTTCGCATCTGGGTGTCCGCGTGAAATTAATGTTTGTAAAATGTCCTTACATTACAACACAGGATAATGTTATCCTAAAGTAAAGGCAACGTTTTTAAAAGAAAAAAAAATGTAAGTTTTTGAGTTTCCAACCGAAAAATAGTCATTAATATTTCAGATTTTTTTAATATTTTATTTATATTTATAACTAAGTAGTAACAGTGCCTGTTGTATAATATGTTTTTTTAATCTATTTTAGCGAATAAACATTACCATAAAGTTAATTGACAATCAAACACTTTATAATCTGTATTGTGTAAATTGCGCGGGTAAGCGGCAGCTGTCAGAGAACATGGCTGGTTCTAATTACAAACCGCCCCCCGCAAAGGAAGCGGTAAGTAGGAAATTATAATTGACGCACAGGGAACACGAGTATCCGACGGAAACACGCGGACGCCTCCGAAGCGACGGCGGGCGGAAGTGAGCCCCCTTTCTTTCCTGCACCACGCGTCGCCGCACTTCTGCCCCATTCAGCCGAGCGTGGGAACACCAGCCCGTGACGCCTAAAACTTGAATGAGCAAGGCGGCAAGCTTCGATCGGTAGGTTGGTAACACATAAGCATAACGAAGCGTTGCGAATACTTCTCCGTTCGCTATGTTGGCACTGCGAGCGTGAATGAAGGGTGTGGGTTGCCTTTTGCAGCTGTCGTAATTTATCCACAAATGAGGTCTGTGGAGATAAATAGGTAGGGCATATACCGAATTTAATAAGTTAACGTTATTCATATGTAGTTTACGTATATTAATCATATTCTTCAAAGATTAGTAACGTACAATGAACAATTGAAACGAGAAAAAAGCTTTTGTCTCTGTACATCAGAACTTTGAATTAGAAGTTTATATACAGAATCTAGATACTTTCGTTACATATATCTCTCATCAATATCTTATATTGCTTTATGTAATTATCACAATGCTGATTACAGTGAATCATTAAGTAAAACCCATACTCGAAATGGGGCAGTTCATCAGCGAAAGCGTTTTCTTTTTCGTAGAAAACAAGCAGACGGGCTAATGTCTTATTTATGACTCCGATAGGGGATTCGGAAACATAAAAAAACGGGTTTCTCGTCGTAGATGTCGTTATAAGGATGCAGCTATGGGCAACTGGGTAATTTGTGCGTGCAAACGCTTCGGCGAATAATTAATGTCTCTTGTACAGTCGCCAACAACGGGGATAATTACGAGCGTCGCACATCATTAAATTTTATGTTTTCTCGGATGAAAACCTTAACAACGCTAGTAATGACGTTTCATATTTACTGTAATGAAGGCGGTTATTTATGTGTGTCGACTGTATCAATAAACTATCTCTTTCGTTTGTAAGCGGCCATCATTTATGAAAATATGATTACGTTTTCGTTGGTCAATGTGAGGTATTTCAGACCCATTGGCAGTTTGTTAGATACATGAATAATGATTTTGATTTATCAACGAAACTTTTACTATTCTTTGATTTCATTTATACTTATATAAATGTTACGAATTTAAATAATATGTTTTGTTTAATATTATATTGTCATCATATTAACGCGGATATCGCATTAAAACACACAAAAATATGCTTTTTCATACATTTAAGGGATACATGGCAAAATATAATTATTTCACGCATTGTATTCTCAATAATTCGAACATAATATCACTTACAAGCAGAGTTGTTCGGCGGTACAGTTAAATAAGGCTACCTTCAATTATTTGATAATGAGCATAAAACGAAACGTAGGTGAATTTAAAAAAAGTGAAACAATAAATATAACACTTTAAATTGTTTTATTTAGCATTTGTTTGAATGATGCTGCCGAGCTATAAGCTTTTGGAGTTGTTATTTTGAGCTCGACTGGCCAATTTGTATGGAAATAGACCGAAATTATTTATCTTGACCAATATTATCAATATCTCTTAGTGTAGGCGACTGTACTAAGCGTATTTGGTATTCGGAGCCGCATTAACATTGTGGGCCGGTTCGTCCGGGTCTACTTCTCCATACATCCCACACAAGAACTCTGTCTATTTATTGTGTCTTAACTGAAATATAAGCGAAACTCATGCAAATATTTTATGCGAGGTTAAAAATATATTACAAAGGCTGGGCTAAAACTGCACTCGAATGTAGAAACTCTTTTGAATTTAACGTGAAACCTATTTGCACTCCAGTCGGTTATTAACCAATTCTATTAAAAATAACGTAACAGCCAAAATATTAAATGATATGACTATTAGGTACTAAGAGTACATACCTGCATAGATTCATAAGTGAAATATATTCATTATATTAGGACCGGAAGACTTAAATTTTGCGTTGATTTAAAGGATTTTCTGAGCATAAGAGTGATAAATGGTGATAACACATCAAATAAAACTACTATAGTTTATACGAATAGCAACAAAATAGTGAGGTAGGTAAAAAGGAAGTCTTCACTGAAGACTAGCAAAAGTCACGCCAATAAATCTAAATAATTCTATTATTAGTACAGATTCAGGCAATTGGTAGACTGAAACATCTGATGGTGAAAAGAAACATAACTTTTTAGATGAACGTTTTTAGTGATTGATTGATTGATTGAATATACTTTGTAGCGCACAAGGAAATACAAGGAAGAAGATACCGGAATGATAGTGTACATATAGGCGGCCTTACTGCTAAGGTTACATTTCTTTATGCTACTTACATATTCGGTGATTACGGGGGTGCCTGGAATTCCCCGTAGCCATAATATTGTACTGGCATTTGTTTTACGATACTACCTGGCGGAAACAAGATGTCAGTCATCTAACCGATCTAGTAAATCATTAGAACATTGATTTATTTATGTGAGAAACGGATAACCTGACCAATCTTGTAAACTTCTCTGCACGAGAGGAGAACTAACACTCCTTCTATTTCTAGCACTAGCATAAATCTGAACGTAAGAGTTAGGACAAACGTTATCCTGAAATACGAGTATGATAAGTCAAGTGTAAATTGACGTCTCTGTGTCCTTGGAGATAAGATTTCATTTTTATATGTATGATGCCGACTTTACACTCACCATTTTAGCCAGCGGTAAGTGTCATTTCCGCATGCCGTATCCGCCAGAGCTTTTAGAGAAGACGAAACTAGAAGCGAACGAACACATCATCCGATAAGGATAAAGAAAATGACAGCTGGTTCATTTAAAACACGAGGTCTGGACTTAATTTAAAATGTCGTAGCTAACTGAGGCACGTTCATTGCTTTGTTATAGATTCCAAATCTTTTTTATTAGGTGCGCTGGTAATTACATAATTACATAATTAATTGGTCAAACATCGTGCTGCCACCTCCGAAACGCTTTCTTTAGGCGATTTAAATTGATTCTGTTGCCCTAAGATACGATATAATTTATGCCCCCGTCAATAGGAATAGGAGGGCATTAAATAAAATATAATCCACCGTAAGAAAATAATGCCCCTCTTTATCGCCGTTAATAAATTAGGATAGAATTAATAGTTATACACTTTCTTATATCAACTTACACGCGTTGGCGGCTATAAAACGGGCGTGTATGAATTGAATTCTCGTTCCTCAAAAAAATATACTGGTCAATAAAAAAACAGTCTCGTAACGGCCATATGCCAACTCGACACATCGATTCAACGATACTAGTGACGCACTATCAATAATTTAATTATAATGCAATAATAACATTGTAAACGTAATAATGAGTTACTAACATAATATTTAATATTTTTACAACACCTCTGCAGTTGTATGTAATTAATATGGTCATACTATTTTTGTTATTCGATTTAATGTTTTGCACAAGAAGAACCATCAAAAAAAATTAAGTAATATAGCTTCGATAAATATACTATAAATTCCGCGATATATATCGCTTCTATATATACTATACTTCGATAAGTAGCTTCTAATACAAACATATTTAAAAGAATAAGCAAATATTTTATAGTCTAAAAAATATTATTAAAAATATATAATATATAATATATATAATATTTCTGTGATATATTTTTACTAAAATATAAGAGATAAATTATTACTAAAAATATATCACAGAAAAGTTGAGAATATTAAATTTTTATTAACATTTAATTTAACGTACAATTATTTGAAAACATTAAAAGATTGATAAAACTGTTTGATAACATTAAAAATGAATTTCGTCCGGATATAACATTATGGTGAAGGGTAATAATTGTTCATGAACATAAAAAAGTAAAGTAACAGCCCAGTATAATACATGTCCCATTACTGAGCAAAGGCCTCTATACAGAGGGTGTCAGGGTATAGTCCGCCACGCGGCCCCACTGCGGATTGGCGGACTTCACATATGTTCGAAACATTTTTTTGTTATTATTTTAAACTGTTGTTACTCTCGTGACAATTTACTATTTCAGTTTTTAATCACTATCACTACATAGTATAAAACAAAGTCGTCCCGCTGTCTGTTGTTTTTTTTCTGTTATTATTCCGGAAATATCCAGTTTTCCTCACGAGGTTTTCCTTCACTGCAGATCACGTGATAATTCGGCACTTAAAATGAACAAGTTCATTGGTGCCGCCACCGGGAATCGAGCTCAGATTGCTCGAATACTCGTATATTGAATTAAAGGCGAGCGCATGCATGTTCATCAACATAACATTTAACAATTTATATGTGTATGTCTCATGACAAATAGGAAGTTTCGAGATCCGAAGTCATTTTCATCAAGAATTATAGAAAAAAGAATAGTAAGAGTTCGTTATGAAAGTAAATACGATCATTTTCTTTTGAAATTTCATATTCAACGCTGAATATATGCATAATTATGATTAACTAGCTGCTGCCGCGACTACGTCTGCGTAGAATAGGCTGTAGGCGTAACATTCAGACAGAAAGACAGATATACATAAAATATGTATATAAATTATAGCCTATGTCCTATTTTGATGTATAACCTATATTATTGTAAAGTTTCATTAAAATAGATTCAGTAGTATTTGCGTGAAAGAGTAACAAACATCCATCCATACAAACTTTCGCGTTTATAATATTAGTTATTAATCTTTACTAATATTATAAACGCGAAAGTTGTGTTGTGTATGGCGGGTTTACTAACTAACTTAGGGGTAACTATAAATAACCATACGGTTTATATACATCTCTATGTAAGCGTATAAATATTTATACGTAACATTTGCGTAAACTATACACACTTATTGTAAAATGATAGAAAGATTAAGTAAAGGTAAATACAGTTGGAAAGTCCATCGTTTAGGAGAAATGGGGCTTTTAATAAATAATACATCAATAAAATTTCTTTGATTGATCGCAAAAACAAAACAAATGGAATGATTGCATGTTATAATTTTTTGAACTTTTTACCGCGTAATGTTTGCCACCAACCTTAGACGTATAAGTTTAAGTAATAATAATAATAGTAAGACGTATTATTCCCTCATTCCTCCTCTAATCACATGTAAACAAGTTTTTTCAATTGGATTGGA